CGAGACGCAGGAGGAAGCTGAGAGAAGGGGCACCGAAGAGAAGGGGTACAGGAGCGCTCAGGGTTTGTGTATTTGGGGGGGTCAGAGTTCGTGACCCCTCCCTTGACGAGACGGCGCGCGCTGCAGTCTGCGCCTGCGCACGACCGACGTGGAGCGGTCGTGACGCTCCTGGAGTGGGGCGGAGCAACCCGAGAGTGAGCCGCGCCTCTGAAAGTCGGCTGCCCCCTGTCGGCCTGGAGGAACTATGGCTGCTTTTGCAAGTCGCGTGCGTTTAGGCGTCGTTTCCCAAAGATGTGCTTTAAAGGAAGTTTATAGAATCAGCGTTCCAGAGGGAGGCGAGGGAATGGAAAAAGAATTCCGATGTGTTATGTACATGCACCAGCTCCCTACGATGAATGTCATCAGTACGTACTGCAAATACATGCTAATAAAATTCAAGGAATATAAAAAATAGAGTCAACGTTTTAGATCTAAGTAATAATAACCTGATTTCGGGCTGGCCTATATCTAATTTTTTAAAAACTGGGCTCTCTGTTATAGGTTCTCTTTATTTAGACTATCGGAATACTAGCAACTACGGATAGATTTTTAAAAAAAAATTTTTTTTTTTCTGAGAGCTGCAACAACTGTTAAAACAGCTCGCGTCTCCCAAGGCTCAGGCTAACTGCTGCCACGGTAGCTGTGAGTGTCCTCAATGCCCACTACCTCTCAGGGAGATGCTACCCTGCTGCAGGCTTGAATGTGACCCGTCAGAGGCCTGCTGTAAGTAACATTCCTCTCCCACTCCTGCGGTTAGTCTAAGAGGGCTCTCCGGTGTATGACCTCTGTCCTACAGCAAATGTGTTCAAAGAAAGTCTTGCTCTGGTAATCTTGCACATCTCACAGTTTATTTCCCAGGTAGTGTAGGCTTGGAAGTTCCTATAAACCTCTTCAGGGTGCTTATCCTGAATAACATTGACAGAGCAGCTGCTTTTAAAGAAAAAGCTGTTAGCCCTGAAGTCCAAAGACCAGCTGCTGGTAAAGATCAGCAGGAGAGGGTGTCGTGGTGCATGCTTGTAATCCCAGCACCTGGGAGGCTGAGGCAGGCGGATTGCTGTCATGAGTTAGGGACCAGCCTGGACTACACAGTAAGTTCAAGGCCAGCCTGAACTATGTAGTGAGGCTCTGTGTTAAAAACAAAAACAAACAACAACAAAAATCCCACAAATATGGGTCATTCTCTAAAAGTCCCCTTCTAGTGCTAAGGATATAGCTCGGTGGCAGAGTGCTTACCTAGTGTGCACAGGGACTCTGGATTTTATCCCTAGCGTTGAGAAAAAAAAAATCCACCTCTAGTTTTTAGCACCATCTATTGTGTATTTGATTTGGTTTTGAGGCAGCTCCCAGCTCCCTAATAACCATAAGTTCATCCCCAAACCGAGAGCTATAATACACTAGGTTCAAGGGAAAAAGGTAACCTGAGACATTTTCTCTCGACTCAGTGTATAATGTGCATGCCTGTGGTTACCCAGTTAATGCACTTAAGTCACAATAAGCTGATTAAAACGTGGAAAGGGCTGGGTGTATAGTCTTAGCACTCAGGAGGCTGAGGCAGGAAACTGCTGTGAGGTCGAGGCCACCCTGGGCTGCATCGTGAGTTCAAGACCAGCTTGAACCACATAGTAAGACCCTGTCTCAAAAAAAAAAAAAATGTTTCCTGAAGTGTTAAGTTACACACTCCTGGTTGATTCTTGCTATTTCCTGTGCCGTTGGAGTCCTGGTCCGGATGTCTTTGCTGGTGCCTGTGACTCAAGTGTTTGCACTGTTTTCTTCTCGTATTTTCAAAGTTTGAAGTCTTCTATCTAGGTCTTTGATCCATTTTTTGAATGGCTCAGGTACAGGATAAGAGAAACAGACCTAGTTTCAATCTGTGTGTGGAAATCCAATTTCCCCAGCACTGTTCGTGGAGAGAAAAAAAAAAAAAACTATGATTTTTTTCTTGGCAGTCGTAGAGATCTCTGCTGTCTCATCATTGGGTCTTTTAGTTTTTTCAAACAAGCTGTCCAGTGATGTTTGCTCTTGACTCACTTTGACTGGGCTTAGCTCGTGGGCTCATGAAGACTGCCCAAGGTGAGTACTTCACGTGGACAGAGGTGCAGATGGAAGCATTTGGTAAAATACTGGGCGGGCAGCAGGCAGATCTAAGTAAGTGGCAGATTAAATAAGTGACGGAAAGGTGCAGCTGTACATTTGAAAAACAGCCACTCCCTCGCCACTAAAAGCCTGCCACCTGGTGCCGCTTAATCGCCACTCACTGGTAGCGTTTTGAGCTGAGTCTGCAAGCAACCGATGCGTTATGGTCTCTCTGTTTCTGCTCACCTGGATTTACAGCAGCACGGTAATCACTGCTAGGATCACAGCCTCAGCCCCACCTCCATCAGGCACGTGAATCATGAACACACAGCCTAGGTTCCTGGCGCGTGCAATGCGCCATAGGTTTCGTGCTGCTGGCCTCACAGGAGGCAGGGCTCAGGCAGGAGTGGGAGTGATGGGGAGCAGCTGTAACAGCCCAAGGTCCACTGGACTGTGGGCAGCTCCTCCAGCTGTCCAGCCCAGTTCCTAGTAAGTCAAAGCCTGGTGCTGGTCCATCGCCCAGGGATGGGACCCCTGTCTTAGGCCACAGGTGTTTACTTCTCACAGCTCTGGAAGCTGCAGTGGAGGCTGGGGAGCCAGGTCAAGGTGCCCCCAGGGGGATGCAGTTGGCCCTCATCCTGGCTGGCGAGCACCCTCTGCGGCTGTGTGTTCACGTAGCCCCTCCCCGTGGGCTCTCACAGGCCAGATTCCCCTCCGTTCTTCCAGGGTCCCACCTTCATGGCCTCATCCAACCCCAAATATCTCCCCAGGCTGCACTTCGAAAAGCACTGTGTGGAGCTGAAGACTTCCACAGTCATAGTGGCGAGCAGGAGGTGCATTCAGTCATCACAGCCCTAAGATGCACAAGTCCCCAGGTAGGGGAGAAGTGGCGCTCAGAGTCCCAGTGACTGTGACATGCAGGCCCAGCCCACTGGAGCACTCTCGTCCTCAGCTGTCCTCCTGAGGTTCTGCTGGCGGTGCCCGAGGCACCATCCGTGTAGGGACGTCAGCCCTGCCAGCCTAGCCCAGCCCTCCGTGTGCAGAAAGCTGATGTCTTGGGAGCTTCCCATCCATGGCAGGGGTCCTGAGGCCGGGCCTTTGGAATGGAAGGGTCTCGAGGGCACTGCCCTCATGGCTTGTGGGTCTGTGGGGAGCTGCTCTGTCCCCAAAAGGAGCTCACACTGTCTCCTGGCGCCCACAGCCAGCAGCTCTGTTCGCCTCCTGCTGCCCCCACGTCTCTGGCCCTGCCAACAGGCCTGGAGGAGCTGAAGCGCAGGCCGCAGTGACACCCCTCCTCCAGTTGGTTTCCTCAGCATGGGTCCCGGCGAGGCCCAGCTGATGTTCACAGCTGGCGCGGGCAGATTCTGCAGCCCTCGCAGGAGCGGCTCCAAGGAGGCTGTGGTTCTGGGGAGGGGTGCTGGCCTGGGGTTTCCTGACCTCCAGGCTGGGGCGTTTGAGCAGGGACCCCCAGAGCAGGGCACACTGACCTGGATGGTGGGACCAGTCCAACCTTGCAATGTCCTGCGTGTGACTCTGGCCACCCAGCCTCCCACTGCCCCTCAGGACATCTGTCCGGCTCACTGCCTGGCCTCTGGGTGAGCTGTCTCCTTCCACTGCCCACAGGGGGCACCTTGGGAAGACCAACAGGCACATGAAGCAGCCAGGAACTTGGCCTGGAGTGACAGCTCCACCTTCTTAGACGGTGTCCCCTGCGGCCCTGCCTCCCATCCTGGGTCCCCAGGACTGTCCTGAACTACAGCTGGAATCACTCTGTAGGAAGGGAGCTGGCTTGGCAAGCGCTGTCCTAACTACAGCCCAGAAGAAAAGTGACTGCAGCTCTTGAGGTAACGAGGACTTCAGCCAAGGTCTACGCGGTAACATCAGGGTTCTGGGTGTGGTGGTCCATGTATAATCCCAGCATTAGGAAAGCTGAGACAGGAAGATATCTGAAGTTTGAGGCCAGCCTGGGCTACACAGTGAGTAGAAGGCCATTTTGAAGTTTGGTGGGATCTTTTCTCAAAAAACCAAGTCTCCCCACTCCTAAAATGGAGTTAGGTGTGGTAGTGCGCATCTGTAATCTTAGTACTCAAGAGGCTGAGGCAGGAGACTCATGAGTTCAAGTGTAAGCCTGACCTAAACTAAACAGAAGACCCGTCTTAAAAAAGACTTCGAGGCTAGCGCATTAGGACTGTGGGGTCACACAGAGTTTAAAATGATGCCACGGCAAGAAAGATGGAATTAGGACCTTTGTGTGGAGCTACATACCCCGTCCTTTTTATTTATTTTGAGACAGGACCTTGCTAAGTTGCTGAATTCCTCAGGCTGGGCTCAAACTTTCATTCTCCTGCTTCAGGCTCCCGGCCTGCTGGGATCATGGGCGTGTCACCATGTCTGGTTCTTGTACTCTTCGATGACATATTCTATGGAAAACCTTGCCTTCTATTTAAATTCATTCAACAAAATGTTTATCATAAACATCAGGTACAACTTTAATCATGCTGTTCATTTCTTTTTTTTGTTTGTTTTTTGTCCTTTTGAGACAGGGTCTCGCTACGCAGTTCAGGCTGCCCTTGAGCTCCCTTTGTAGCCCAGGCTGGTCTCCTGCCTTAGCCTCCTGAGTACTGAGATTGCAAGCGTGTGCCACCACGCCCAACTTAATTTCATTTTCTTTTGCTGATCAATTGTCTATATAAGGTGGCTCACAGGTTAAACAACCGATACACCAGAATTGTGCATAGGAGCCCTTCCTCAGGAGGCCTGAGGGCACTGACTAGAAAGAAATAAATACCAAGGAAGTCATACTGATACAGGAAAATAAAAACTCCCAACCTGAATGATGTATGGGATGAGTTCGTGTTTTCTAAAATCAAAGAATGAATTTTAGGAATGACGGAGGTTAAGAGCAGAATATATTTATTGAGGGAAAGAAAGCTTCTGTCCAAGAGAGGGACAGAAGGGGGGCCCAAGTGGGTTACCCCCCGACTCTGTCTTTCCTGGGGACTTTTATAGAGCAAAACCACGAGGTGAGGAGGGTCCAAGGTAGGGGAAAACGGACAAAACTATGGTCAGCCAATAAGAACTGTTCAGGTAGAATTGATTAAACTGGGATCAAATGGGGATGCAAGTCATGTAGCACGTGGGCATGAATACAGAGCAGGAGCTTTCTTTTCCTGTAAGGGGCTGGGTCAGGGACTCTTCAATCCCGGATGTCCATCCCTTGGGAGGTAAGGGGGTATATTTGTTTAGTCCTTTGTCTTGATGTCTGGCCCACAGGTATCTTATCTTGTCTTTCATGTTGGCTCCTTCGAGGGCCTGGCCCTGTCTGACTGCCTGTAATATTTCTATCTAACTCAGCTGCCTGTAACAATATAACAAGGTATGAAAAGACCTTTCAAAAAACATTGTGCAATTTCAGCTAATACTACCTTAGCATTTGTGCCTTTCAGTGACTCCAGTTCATTTTCAAAAGCATAATGTTATAGGAAATTTAGCATTCCTTTTAGATATACAGTGAACCCCACTTGGCGGCAGGTGAGATAATGAAACAGAACACTCCTTACAGCACAGGGGCTAAGCTCAGCAGAGGAGCCTGCCAGGTGCAAGTGAGGTGCTGGGTTCAGTCCCAGTATTGGAAAGAGAACTATAAACAAAGAAACTTGCAGTATTTTGCTCCTTTAAAAAAAAATCTGGTCAGGCATGGTGGTGCGCACCTGTAATCCCAGCACTTAGGAGGCTGAGGTAGGACAGCTCTGACTATGGAGTTCAAGGCCAGCCTAAAGTGCACATTGAAACTCTGCCTCAAAATGACAAAAAATGTTTCTTTAAAAAAAAAATCTAGTTATGTTTATGTCAGATGTTTTTTAAAAAGCCTAGATTTAATGAAAAGCCATAGAGTCACATAAAGCAAGCCAGATTTCTATCCCTTTGCAATAGTTCTTTGAGGTAACATTAATGCATGCCAGAAGAGGTACATGAAGTACTACATTAGATACTGACTCAAATTTCATTTCAGTCACTGAGTTAGAAGCAGGCTATGTGTTTTTCCATTATAAAATAGAACATTTAGCTCAGTGGAACAGCACCTGCCTGGCAAGTGCGAGGTCGTGAGTTCAATTCCCGGTACCGGAAAAAAAAAATAAATAAATAAAATAGAACAATTTTCTAAGCTTATTGATTCAAAGACATTTTGTTCAACAGTTTTAAACTAATCATAATTTCCTTCCTTCTTTTTCTTTTTTCCTGTTTTGGTTTTTGGTTTTGAGTTTTTTTTTCTCTTTTTGGGACAGGGTCTCACTGTGCAGTTCAGGCTGACCTGGAGCTCACTTTGTAGCCCAGGCTGTCCTCAAACTCACTGTGATCCTCCTGCCTCAGCCTCCCCAGTGCTGGGATTACAAGAGGCCTGTGCCACTACACCTAGCAGTGATTACAATTTCTAAACGAAGTACTGCATTAAAATTTGCTTTTTGTATGGTTTTTTTTTTTATTTACAAAGATTCATAACCGGTAGGAAATGTCACAAGGTTAAGGCAGAGAATATGTTGTGGGCTGGGTCACAAACAGTTACTATAGAAAAAGGTAAATTTTCTGCTCTCTGAAGAAATGGTACTTCAGAATTCAGTGCGAGACTTAGAAATAACTCTGACCATCAAGTAAAACATTACAGTTTTAATAAATAAAATACATGAAAAAGCAAACATTTTTTTAAAAAACTATATCTAACAAAATAATTTCTTGTATCTGAGATCTCTGAAAAAGAGTTTGGTTGGATTTATCTTGGCAGTGTTTATTTTTATAAAATTTTGTTTTTACTCCATCCTGAAGAAATTCCACCATCCTCAGAGAAGAGACGAAACCAGCACTGCTACAACACGGTGCCTTCCTGAAACGCCTCTATCCACCTGCGGATCAGAGAAGCCTGTTAGGTTTGTGGGACACGGTGCCGAGAGCGCAGGGGTCTGGTGAGACGCCTGTGACTCTAACAGCACTCAGAAGGCGTTTCCTAGAGCAACTTGCAACTCTTGCATGCGCGAAGCACCTTTTTCTGAAATCTGATCCAAAATTTGGTCTAGAAAGTGTGTCTTTACTTAAGTGCGGCATGAGGGAGGGACCGTTTCATGTGTAAAAGTCCTATAAAGTTCTGATGCTCCAATTTAATTGGTTGTGGAAGTGGTTACCATCAGTTAAACACCTTTAGCTGGACTCAGAGGAACAAACCTGTAGACCCAGCACTCCAGAAGGCCAAGGCAGGACTGCAAGTTTGAGCCGAGCTTGGGTGATTTAGCAAGACCTTGTCTCAAAATAAAAAAGGGCTTGAGATGTAGCTCAGTAGGAAGGCCCTGGGTTCAAGCCCCGGTACCGCACCAAAATAAATCAATACATCAATCAATCAATCAGGAAAGACCTCTCCGACAACTACCCCGCTTCTGGGTTCTGATGCAGCACTTCCACAAACACTTGTCATGTGCCTTTTCCTCCCGCGCGAGCTCCACCAGCCTGAGCGTCCAGGTGGACCCTCAAGAACAGACCTATCCTAGTAGTTCTGATTACAGGGCCTCTGCCTGGCATTTGGTCCACTCCTCACAGATGAACACTTTGCATGCAATACATCTGCTTCTGGAAACGTGGCAGAGGTCTTTCCAAGGTCCTCTGCTCTCAAGTTTCTATCTGATGTTCACAGTGTGACTACTCAGAAGATGCCCAGGTGCAGTCTCTCTCCTCCCTGCTGACCGTCACTATTGTGGAGCCTTACTACAGTCACTTCTCTCTGTTCTTACTGAAGTAGAATTTCTTTTAATAGGATCTTACAGATCAAGTGTGGTGACACATGCCTGTAATCCCAGCACTTGGGAGGCTGAGGCGGGAAAATCGCTGTGCATTTAGAGTGAGCTTATAGCCAGCCAGAACTACATAGTGAGACCCTGTCTCAAAAAAACCCAAAAATAAATAAATAAATCCAATAAAAAGGGCTGGAGGTGTAGGTCAGTGCAAAGATGCTGGGTTCAGTCCCCAGAACTACAAAATAAATATAAATCAAAGAACAACTTGGAGCCAGGAGTGGTGGCACATGCCTGTAATCCCAGCACTCGGGAGGCTGAAGCAGGAGGATCGTTGCGAGTTTGAGACCAGCCTGGGCTACAAAGTGAGCTCAAGGCCAGCCTGAACTGCATATCAAGACCCTGTCTCAAAAAAGAAAAAAAAAAACAAAAAACAAAAACCCAACTTGGAAGCTCAGGTACAGAGGGAACAGGTCTACATCACTCACTTCTGTGCCGACTGCGCGTCCTCAGCTTTGAAAACATAGAACACCATGTCCTTGTGCAGCAGCTGGAACACTCTCGACTCCGCACTCTCGTCTCTGACTTGGGAGACTGTAAATCCTAACAGAGGCTGACTCTCCAACGCTGCCACGTCCTGCGTTAAAGGCACCAGCAGATGGGACTTAGCGTGAGTCACAGTGACACTCGGCCCTGGGATCGGCACAGTTGTGCGATCAGCATTCTAACAGCACGAGCACAGTCCGTCCACCCCCCCCAGTCACACCCCCGCTGCCACACACCACGCCAGCTGTCTCTGTGCTCACAGCCACTGAACTTTACGTGAACTCTGCTACAACCCAAGAGATGCCATGATTTTCATTAGAAAGGTAAGTGGTAGCCAGCTAAGGCTCACCTTTCCCCTACAGGTTTTCATAGACGGCTGGGAATACAGGGGATCAAACAGAAGAAAAGGACAGAAAGCCACGATCCTCCTGAACCAGCTTCTACCGTGCCTGTAATCCCACATTCAGGAGGCTGAGGCAGGAGGATTGCAGCAAGGACAATATAGTGGGCTATAGCCTGAGCTACATAGTGAGTTCAGGCCAACCTGACTTACATAACGAGATCCTGTCTCTAAAAAAAGAAAAAAAGTAAAGAAAAAGGAAAATTCCTAAGGCACTTGAGTCAGAGCTCTCTAGGTCCAAAGCAAGAACATTATTCAAATAAGACGTAACAGTGACATCACCTGCTCCCACAGCAGAGTTGGGGGCAGGGCATGGGTGGCGCTTGCCCAGCAGGCACGAGGTCCCGGGCTAGATCCCCAGGGCCACCAAATGAAAGCAAACTCCAGACCCCAGAGCAGTGAAACAGACACAGGGCTCCACCAGCCTCCCTGGTCACCCCCGGTGCCTACCTCGCTGGCTGCGTACGTGTACAGCACTTTGTTCTTGATGACGAACCACAGGTGCTTCCAGGGCTTGCGGGTGCCCTTGGCCCGGTACAGGTAGCCGCTCATGGTGGAGTCCTCCGTGCTGGCCCACACCTGCGAGGACAGGCAGCGGGCCTGGGCGGGGGCAGCACGGGACGGGGCATGGAAAGCAGTAACGAGGGCGTTTCCAGCGCTACACTGCAGACTGAGATCTGCTGTTCCAGCGAGCGGAAGAACCTTTCTAAGAAATTTAGGGATTTTACCTAGCTCACCTGGGTTTCTATGTGTGTGTACATGTGTCTCTGTTTTCTGGTCTCTTTAGTTTTGGTTTTTTTGAGACAGTCTCACTATGTAGCCCAGGCTAGACTCAAACTAATGGCAGATCCTCTGCCTCAGCCTCCCAAGTGCAGGGATTACAGGTGTGTGCCACCACACTGGGCTTTTCTGTTTAGGAGAAGAAAAAAGTGATCCAAAGCCTACAATGCATTTCTAAAATTTTCATTCTTCAATGTAATTAAAATTAAGAATCTTTTCTGGTAGTAGGGATTGAATCCCAGGCTTCACTTCACACAGAGCTACAACCCCGGGCCATTTTTCATGTCTCAAATGATTTGAGACAGAGTCTCAGTTACTAAGTTGCTCAGGCTGGCCTTGACCTCATAGTGATCCTCCTGCCTCAGCCTAGTATGCAGGTATGGGCCACCGTGGTGGGAATTTACTTATTTTTTGAAGAGCTGGCAATCTTGCAAGCTGTCTCAGGTGGCTCCAGCACCTTCCCTCTTCAGCCTCCTGAGTAGCAGGGCTGGAGGTGCAGCTCTACCTCGGGCAAAAGCCTCGGCCTTACTTACAGACAGACTTACATTTGGGAACCGAGGGACGAGGAGCCAGGCCCCAGGTGCCCGCTAAATTGGCTTCACCTGTTTCACACACGGCTGTGCAGTCAGAACTTTATAAATCTTATTCGTACTATTTTGTGAAATTAGCTATAGATTATTTCACGTGATTTTGGCTGGGAATGTTAAGAAACATGACTTTGGTCAAAATTTTAGCACTGTTTGCCTTCACTTTGCATGACAAACCCTCCACAGTAACCAAGTTAGAGAAGCAGCTGGGTGTAGTGCTGCACATCTGTAATCCCAGCACTTGGGAGGCTGAGGCAGGAGGATCGCCATGCCAGCCTGAACTAAATAGTGAGACCCTGTCTCAAAAAACAAAAACAAAAACAAAAAAAGGGGGGCGGGGGAGGGAAGAATGAAGAACATTGTTTAGAGCTGAGCACAGCTTCAGGAGGCAGAGGTCGGGGGGAATCACTTAACTGGGGCAGCTGGGCTGACTGGACAGCACAGCCATCTTGAAAACACAAAAACCCCCGCCACACACACGTGGTTCTGCTGGCTACAAAACCAGTGCAGCAGGGACTGAGTGGAAACAAACTGTCCCAAGGGTGGCAGGAATGGCAGCGCTGTGTGGCCCAGCACCGTGGGCTGAGGGTGAAAGAGTGGGAGCTGGATGAGGTATCAGCTGCCCTGTGCATTATGGCAGCCAGGTCTGAGCTCCAGGCCGGCACAGCCAAGAAGATTTTAAGTTAAAAGGAGCAACGGCCAGGAATGGTGCCACACCTATAATCCCAACATGATGGGAGGCTGAGGCAGGAGGGTGTAAAGTTCAAGTCCAGCTTGAGTGACTTAGTGAAACTCTCTCAAAATTTTAAAAGGCCTGGGGATGTAGCTAAGTGTGAAAGCCCTGGGTTCAACCCTAGTACTGCAAAACGAAGTAAAATAAAAACAAAGACAACCTACTGGCGATATCTGCTGTCCATAACCAATCGGTATCTACAACTATCAAACGCAGATCAGTAAATGCTACTGAAATGCCCAAAATCATTCCATGGACTTCTTTTCTCAAGTAAGGGGTCTCCTCGGAATAATTTTTTAAAAATTCATGGGTCAGCTGGGTGTGGTAGTGCACACGTGTAAATCCCAGCACTTAGGAGGCTGAGGAAGGAGGACTGCCCTTAAGTTCCAGGTCAGCCTGGGCTACAAAGGGAGACCCTGTCTCAAAGACAAAAAACAAAAATTCATAGGTGTCCAAGTTTTCATTTCTATCACTGTTAGAAAATGTTGTCCAAACCTTGTCTAAATGAGGCCGGGGCCTCTCCCTCAACAGTCCCACTGCGAAGGCCGTCCTCCTGCAGCACAGGGCAGCCCGGGGCAGCGCAGGACAGCTTGGGGACAGTGTGGCTGTCCACGGCTCCAGCAGTGGCCGGTAGGAAGCACTTACTTCTTTAAGAGCTGCAGGGATCTTTTTTTGCTTCCGCCCGGAGGGGATGGACTGCAGCACCGAGGTCAAGGCGCTGGACGGAGACTTGTGACTTCCGGGGGTCCCGGGCCTTGGGGAGGGCTGGTGATCTGGAACGAATGGGGAACACTGGACATCCACAGAAGTGTCTGCCCTTCAACGGCGCTCAAATTCAACGACTACTGCATGCAATTATTCATGGAAGGAAACTCAAAACACACAAGCAGGACTTCAACCCCCGGCGCCAAGAACACAAATGATGGCCAAGAGCTGATCAGGTGAAGCCTTTCCAACACGGTCCATGCGTTTATGTCTTTGGCACTTTCTTTCCTTCCTGACAGGACCTTGCCATGCAGTTCAGGCTGGCCATGATTTTACTGTGTAGCCTCGGCTGCCTTGAACTTGCTGTATCCTCCTGCCTCAGCCTTCTGAGTGGCTGAGTGCTGGGATCACAGGCACCCACCACCATACCTGACTTCTTTTTAAAATTTAGGTCCCATGTTTCAGAGATTTAACTAAAGACTTCTTCCCAAAGCATAGACATGAGCGGTTCTTGCCCCAATTACTCTGCCTGTAAGAAGCTGGCAGAGAGCACCCTGGGTAGGAAGCACTGTGCCCTGCCTCTCCCAGAAGGGGCACCTTTTAAGCATGCAGTGAAATGCCACTCACTCAGCCAAGACCAGAACTGAGGCAAGTGCCACCACATCTATTCCATACAGGGTGACTTGGCAGGTGGATGGATACAAAGTGGTTTCCGACAAGCATGCTTGTGGCAAACTAGAAGCTTGAAAATTACTAGGAAGCTGAAGTTCCCTGTGCGTGGTTTTAGGCACCTCATCCTGTAATTACATTTCTAGTTAGTTTTCTCAGCAAAACCTTTCACAGAGTGAAAACAAATTGTACTCCAGCTTCTCCTGGAATTACCACAAAAGCGAAGTTAAGAAAGCTTAGTACTAATAAGAAAGCTGTTTACTTCCTTTTCTTTTTCTCCTTTCTTCTTCATTTAATTTTTGGGACAGTCTCACTATGCAGTTCAGGCTGGCTTTCAACTCGCTATGTAGTCCAGGCTGGCCTCAAACTGACAGCGATCCTCCTGCCTCAGCCTCCCAAGTGCTGGGATTACAGGAGGCTGCTGGAAAGCATGTAGGCAAGAAAGGCATTTTTGATGAAGTCTTAATGTATTACCTAGTTTCTGCAGCTCTTGGAAACAATGTTCACACACTCTTGCGGGCTGGTTTTTCAGGTAATCCAAGCCATACTTATTTGAGGAGCAGGCTTGGCAGACGACCTGCAATACATTGCAGTCACTTCATTACAGATGGCAGCACTGTCCAAGTTTCCCAGTAGCTTCCCACAGACTAGGGCTCAAGTGCCGGGGTTCCGGCATGGAGGGAGCTCTCCCTCAGGAACACGCTCGAAGATGAAGAGGCCCCAATTACTGCTGAGTGCGCCCTACACGAAACAGCACGGGCAGAGCGCGGCCGCGCACAGAATGCTCAGGACTGTGCCCTGCACGCCAAGACCTCTCAGCTGTACCGGCCATCATCATTCTTTGTTTTGTGTGTATCTATGGGTGTGTGTGTGTGTGTTTTACACTGGTACTGGGAATTGAACTCAGGCCAAGAAGGTGCTTGTGCTGTTGAGCTCTATCCCCAGCCCCCTTCTTTGTTTTCATTGAGACAGGATCTCCCTGTGTAGCTCAGGCTGGCCTCAAGTGCCTGGCAACCCTCCTGCCTCAGCCTCCCGAGTGCTGGGGTTACAGGAGTGCACCATCAGGCCTGGCAGCATGTCCTCCCATCTTGTTCTGTTCACTAGAGTGGCATCTGGGGCCAAAGCCCCCTCTGTGCAGCACAGCCAGCACAGCCTCGGCGGCGGGAGCTGGCTGACCTTCCCGCAGGCGCGGCAGTGGTGTCGCCTCCAGGTGAGAGTGAACTCCCTGGTACAGATCATGCACATGGTGGCCCTGGTGTCTGGAACCCAGATGGGCGCCTTGGAGCCCAGGGGAGTCACTTCCTCCTTCCTCTCCAAGTCGGCCTGTGGGAAAAGAATGACTCTGTTACCTCAGTCCACAGGGCCTGCAACCAAATCCGGCCTTCAGTTGGCAGGGGTGTCTCACAGTCCAGGTGTAGGGGAATTACGCGCTACTACAGTTCTCGTGTTCTTAGGGTAGTAAGATTAGCTACTTTCCAAAAATCCTCTGCTGCAAAACTGACTCCAAAAGATATGCTGGGCATGGTAGCGCAATCCTATAATCTCAGCACTCAGGATGCTGAGGCAGGAGGATTGCTGCAAGTTCAAGGTCAGCCTGAAATACACAGGGAGGCCTTGTCTTAAACAAAACAAAACATAACAGAGGAAAATGCATATGGATCAGTTTCTTCTGCAAACTTTTCTTAAGCCCTAAATTCCCTACAACAGGGGCTGGGAGTAGCTCAGCACCACACCCTGTGTGTGGCATGCCTGGGGTGCTGGGTTCCAGCCTCAGCATCAAGGACACATAGGAGGCACACACCTGTACTTCCTGCTATTTGAGAGGCTGTTAAGTTTGAGGTCAGCCTGGATAACCTACCAGGGCCTTGACTAGAAATAAAAAGGGGCTGGTGATGTTGTTTGGTGTGAAGGCCCTGGCTTTTTTTTTTTTTTTTTTTTTTTTTTTTTTGAGACAGGGTCTCTCTATGCAGTTCAGGCTGGCCTTGAGCTCACTTTGTAGCCTAGGCTGGTCTTGAACTAGCAACGATCCTCCTGCCCCAGCCTCCCGAGTGCTGGGATTACAGGTGTACACCATCATGCTGGGTTTAAGGCCCTAGCTTTAAACCATAGCACTCACTCACACAAACACACACACAATCCTACAATGAAATTTTGTTTTGTTTTGCTTTTTTTGAATCAGGATTTTACACTGTAGCCCAGGCTGGACTCAAAGTCACAATCATCCTGTTTTAGCCTCCTGAGTGCTGGGACTACAGGCATACATTACCACACCCAGTTACAGTGGCATTCTTCTTTCGCTTTTTTTTTTGGCCCTGCGGGGCTGAATCCAGAACCTTCACACTGAGCTGTATCTGTAGCCCCTTATTAGCATTTTGAAAATTTTGAGATGGCCCCATGCTAAATTTCTCAGGCTGGGATCAAACTTTTGATCCTCCTGCCTCAGCCTCCCAGACAGCTGGGATGACAGGCGTGCACACCACATCCAACAATACGTTTTATAGCTGGGAAAAGTATGGGTACGCTGTGTGCTCTCTCAGACTTGCAGTTAGGTGCTGCGTATAGTGGCGCATGCCTGTGACCTCAGCACTCTGGAGGCTCCGGCAGGAGGATTGCAACAAGTTCAAGAACAGCCTGGGCTACACACTGAGACCCTATCTTAAATCCCTCAAACAAAACAAAACAAACAGTCAGACATTTACAGATGGATAAACACACAGCTCTGAAAACAGACACACTCCTCCACCCTCCTCTGAAGCACACGCTGCTTTTCTAACCCCTGCGAGAAGGCTCTCTGAGGTAAAGGCGTTGGAAATGCACTGGGGAAAACAGAAGGAAAAACAATACCTCATCCAGACTCCTACCAGGGCAGAAGGTGACTCTCTTCTTGGCATGCTCCTCGATGGCCCCCGAGATGGCTGCCAGCCACTCGTCCCTCTCGCGGGCAGAGCTGTTGGGGAAAGGGGGCCCGTGAGGCTGAGGTGGCTGTGGCTCTGCCCTTCTCTGTCCCCGTCCTGTTCCGTGGCAGTGCCCCCCGCCCCAGGCTCCCAAGGCCAGTGGTCCTGGCAGGTGACAGACGCGAAGCCATGGAGGCTTAGCAGACGCAACCCCTCCTCCTCTCCCAGACTAGCGTGCTTCAGACAGCGATCGCTTCCTCTCCACTCAGGGAAGGGCAGAGGGGAAGGGATGTAAAAAAACAGAATTCAGAAATGTCACACTGTGTACCGCCCCCCCAGAGCAATGCAATCGTTCTGCTGCACTGACGCATGCCAACACAAAGGGCTTCTACATCTGAGTCTGTCTGGTTTGTGGTTTACGATTGTGATTATTTATATAATCAAAGGCTTCCCTAAGACATTCTAGAACTTAAAAATACTGTAAGAATCAAGTTACAAATTCCAGTTCAGAGCACAGAATTCTACACATCTTTAGATCACTATCATTAAAAATTCCTAGGAAGGACAGAGGCGGACATCTGCCCAGTGTCATAAAACAGATGCTGAAGGTGTGGTTAAAAGGGAAATGGGGTTGGGATGTAGCTCAGGGGCACAAGTGCCTGCCTGGCAAGCGCAAGCTCCTGAGTTCAATTCCTGGTTCCAAATAAATGAATGAATGAGTGATGAGAGGGAGGCGGCCTGCCCGATAGCGGCACAGTGAGGGCTCCCTACGCTCTTCGTCCACAGGACTTCTGTTCCTGCGCTGCTTGTCGGGAGCTGTCCTTAACTGGGCTGTAGAGGAAATGAGCCAAAAAGGGAAGGCAGCCCCCAACAAATGGCACACTTGCTCTGCCTTGTGTGTGTGGAACTGGGGAGTGGACCCAGGGTCTTTCCACTGAACTGCATCCCCAGCTCCTTTTTTACTTTTTTTACTTTGAGATAGGGTCTTACAAAGCAGCTAAACTGACCAGGCTGGGTTTGAACTTGCAATTCTCCTGCCTCAGCCTCCCAGAGTTCTGGGATTACAGGTGTGCACTACCATGCTCAGCTTGTCCCGCACTCCTGTGACCAGGCCTCTCCTTCCAAACCCATGGGAGCTCCTAACCACCACCGGTTGTCAGAACATTTATGAGCCACTATTTAAATTGTGTTTTGCATATTCAAGATGGAGAGGCACATGTTAGGTCTCAGAAATACAGATAAATACATAAATCTCTACATGCACATTCAGGGACACAGAGTGGGTAGGAGAGAGAGACTTTAACAACCAGCTTGAAACTGCATCATAATAAAATTAAACCCATCACGATGGCTTTGTGACTGTGAGAAATGTACTTTCAGAACGGCACACTGAAGTATGCAGCAGGACGTGTCCTGATGCTTGATGACTTTGCATCCGGGTGACTATGTGCTTCACTGTGCTACTCACTCTATGTTATTATTTCATATGAGACAGCGTCTCACGATTGAGTCCAGCCTGGCTTTGAACTCACTATGTAGCCCAGGCTGTCTTTCAACTCTTGGCAATCCTCTTGCCTCAGCCTCTCAGGTCCCAACTGAATTTTTAATTTTTATTAGTAATTTCAAATATAAAAAATTTCATAATAGAGCCAGGCGTGTGGTGCACACCTGTAATCCCAGCACTCGGAAGGCTGAGGCAGGTGGATTACTGAAAATTCCAGGGCTACCAAGTGAGTTCAAGGCCAGCTTGAACTAAATATAAATAGTGAAACCCTATCTCAAAAATCCGTAATAGGCTGAAGATATAGCACAGCGGTAGAACACTTGCCTAGCATGCACGAGGTTAAGGGTTCAACCCTAGCACCACCATGACTAAAAATAAGACCATCATACTGGTACATAGCACACACCCCATACTTTTTCTTTGCAGCACCAGGATCCACCCTAGAGCCTTGTGTATTCTAGGCAAGTGCCATACTTAGTCCCCAGCCCCTTACTGTTGGTTTTGTTTTGAAACAGGGTCTTTCAATATAGCCCAGGCTGTCCTTAGACTAGCAATCCTCCTCCCTCAGCCTCTAAGCACTGGGATTACAGGTGAACACCATCACAAATGGTGAGCAGGTCAAGAAGATACTAGAAACCACTTGGATTTCTCACTACAATCATTCTCAGAAATGTATCTTCTATTAAATGGCTTTGGCAATGCTAAACACTTTTTGAACGTTTGTTCCTATGGATAGAAAAAAATAGAACAACAACAACAAAAGAAATAACCAAACCAAACCTGCTTGGGTTATGTGTGGTATTCTAACAGCCTGCATCACCAACCACGGCCAGCCTCTTTGTGCACTTTTGTGTTTTGACACAGGGTCTCACTATGTAGTTCAGGCTGGTCTTCCACTCACTACATAGCCCAGGCTGGCCTCAAACTTGGTGCAATCCTGCCTCAGCCTCCAGAGTGCTGGGATTACAGCTGTGCTCCACCACGTCCACCTGGTGTCCATTCATCTCTAGCTTCCAGGCCAGCACTCAGGACATACCCTGCAGTTTACTGGAAGGAGCTGCAGGGATAAGGGGCGGACGGCTAACGGCATGGCCGCTGGATGTGTGGAGCCCGGGCTGCATGGGGAACGCGACTCTGGCAAGTGGGCCATCGCAGGCGCTGTTCTGGGGTCCACCGCCCCTGAGGGCACCTGCAAGCCAGCCCTCACAGACCCTAGCCGGGCGCTTTGGCCTGTGGTGGAGGGGTCAGCATGGCACCCGCACCCTCCCTGGATTCAGAAGCAGTCGGCCTTGTCTTCTTTCCTCCGCCAATGTGGTGCCTGAACTTGAGAAGACTCCTCTGCCTGAGCTCGGCACCAAAGCACAGGCCACAGAACAGGGAGCTCCTCCGGCCACATCCTCCTCTGGGATACAGTCAGTGGCTTCCCATGGCTCCTAAGCTAAAGACCAAAATCTACAAGGTGGCTGGGCATGGTGGCGCATGCCGGTGATTCCAGCGCTTAGGAGGCCGAGGCAGGAGAAACACCCTGAGTTCAGGCCAGCCTGGGCTCCATAGAGAATTCAAGGCCGGCCTGAACTGCAGAGACCCCATCTCACAGCAACCGAGTACACGAACAGATGTACCTGGCTGAGAGGATGAAGGAGCGTTCCACACTCTCGATCTTCAGTTCGTTCTGATAGGCTTCCTGGCCGGGCTTTGTGACCTGAGGAAAGCACCGGGTTGGAAGGGCCACAGCCCACGGCAGAGCACAGCTGAGCTGTGGAGACAGCCACCCGCCGCCCTTACCCTCCCGGCCCCACCATCTCACACCTGTACAGCCCCAGCTGCCTGCTTCATACAGCCTGTGGATCAAAGGTCACAGCCACCTCTAGCCGGGCACCCTCTGGACTTGTCCTTCAAGGCTCACTGCCTCTTCCCCAGCTGTCAGTCAACAGCTGCACGCACTCCCTCCAAGAGCTCTGCATCCCTGTCTCCTAAACTCCCACGAACTAAACTGTATCTTTATAGTAACTGTTTTTTAGTATTTTGAGACAGGGTCTCATATGTATCCCAGGCTGACCTCTAATTTGCTGGGATCCTCCTGCCTCAGCCTCCTGGGCACTGGAATCACAGATGTGTGCCACTATACCCAGCTATTTTATAGTGATCTTTGTTGCTACTTCATACATATTTATCTACAGTGTATTATACTTCCAACTGGCCAAAAAGAATCCTTTCCAGTCATCCTATTTTCCACTAAACTTATGACCATGCTCTATTTACAGTTGTTCTTAATAAGTAGGCTTGAATAGTGAGTGCACGAAGGAAGAAGTGATACGCATAAACTCGCATGGACAGTCGCATCTAGAGAAAGGGACGGAGCGTTGCGATCATCACAGGCTCCTCTTCACAGAGAGTCTCCGCCTGTCTTAAGGAAAAGCGGGCGGAGCGCTGCGCTGACCTTCATGCCGGCCAAGGAGAGCATGTTGTTCAGCTTGTATGTCCCCGACTGCAGAGGCGTGGTGTACAGCAGGACGTCGTTGAACTGCAAAGAGGAACACACACAGTCACATTACAGAGGCTCACGTCAGCGCCTGCTGTGGGCTCACTACACAGCCGAGGCCAGCCTCAGGTTAGCGGTGACGCCCCTGCCTGAGCCTCCTGAGTGCTAGGATTACAGGTGTGCGCCACCACGCCAGGCTCCTCATCAGAAACAACGACAAAAGACAAGAACAAGGGAAAAACACTGCCCTCGGGTAACAACTCTCTGAAGAAAATACTTCTATTCTGTTCATTCCACAAGAAGCACCTCTAATGTTCTATCATTAAAAAGGGAGTTTCATTAAAAAGGGAGTTTCCAGACAAGACACTTCTTTTCCGAGGTCTGTAACAGATTCAGCGTTTTCTGAATTCTGAATTCTGAATTGCCCTAAAGTGTCGCCATCTGCCTAAATAAGCGCTTGCAGCAACAAGTCTTCCAAACCAGTAACACAGCCAACTGGATACCCAGAGGACTTGCTTTTCTGATTGTGTGGCGTGGCAGACCTGGCCGCTGTGGCCGCTGCCAGACATCCTGGAGCCTGGCCCGAGCCCAGCCCAAACCTGGCCCGAATCCGGCCTGAACCGTCGGGCTCCTCCGCCCCAGAGGAACATCCCCACAGCCTCACCAGGAAAAACATGCGCGGCTGCATGACCTTCCGGGACAGCTTCATCAGGACGCCTTCCTTGAGGAAAACCTGGGGGCAGGTGGACAGGCGTCAGCCCTTTGCCCGTCACCACCGTGAACACAGCACCCCTTCCCAGCAGCCCTGCCTGGTTCTTTCTACGGTGGCAGCCAAGGGGACAGTGTTTCCTTGTGACTTTGTGCAGTCATGGCTTATGGCTTCCTTTTCTTTTCCTTCCTTCTTCTGGGCATGGATCCACAGGAGCTGCGTACAGAGCCCCGGCCTCCTACATGCTAAGCAAGTGCAGCATGGCCAGCACCATTTCCAGGCCCCTCGGTTTTTGTTTTTTTTTTTTCCTTTTTTGAGACAGGGTCTCACTCTGTAGTCCAGGCTGGCCTAGAACTCACAGGGATCCTCCTGCCTCAGCCACCTGGGTGCTGAGATTACAGGGTGTGCCACCATGCCTGGCACTTCGTTTCTTTTTAAGCCTTATCACGCATTTGGAAACTGGACAGAAAGATTGTTAAGCCAATACAGGCTTACAGGGCCCCTCTGCGACTGAGTGTCCCTGATCCTGACATCATTCTGTAATTTTTCCCGAATTGCTTCCTAAGGCCACTTCTGTGCTCTCTCAGGAGTTGATATCAAAGTTCTAATTTCTCCCTCCCTCCATGACCCTCTTACGTTAGATTTTAAATGAAATGGCATTCAGAGCTCTAAGAGGTCAGCTGGTATCATGCAGGAAAATGATGCTATGATATCATTTCAGTGGGATTTGTGGGGCCCTCGGCCTTTCTCCTACTGAACTGGACTTCTTGTTTCGGTGACTTCCTTCATGGCTGTCTTCCAGCTTTCTATTCTTTGTTTTGAGACAGTAACTCACTATGTGGTAAACACTGGCCTTGAACTTCTGCCAATCAATCCTCCTGCCTCAGCCTCCAAGTGCTAGGATCACAGGCATGCACCACCACACGCAGCCACAATGAACCTATTTTCCTAACTAAAATAAACACCAGCTACGCCACTCACAGGGCCGTCAGAAGCACCTACCCGTCCCGGCTGCAGGATCTCCTGGTGCCCGCTCAGGCTGTACTGGATCCGCAGGAGCTTCTGGAAGTTGTCCTGAGGAGAGAAAGCGTGTCAGACCCGGCCCCAGCCAGGCTCCATGGTGCGCCTGCCCCCGAGCGCACGATACTCACGCCCTGCTTCATGCTGTCGTTGGCGTGGTTGGCCACCTCAATCACCACGGTGAGGGCATCTACAGGGCACGGGGAGAGAAGGGACCTGGTCACTACCACTGTGACATGAGCAGTTCCTGGCAAGATGGCTGCTTCCCAGCAACCCTGCGCCAGGGAGTCTGGCTGACTGCAGACGGCAGAGACACAGACGCTAAGGCTCAGTGAGGTGAGACCAGGGGAAGGCAGACCGAAAACAGCACCTATGAGCACACATGGGCCCCAGGGGGCGCTGCCGGCCACGTCCACCACAGACAGAGATGTGGGGCTCGTTCGCTCAAGCTGAGACCTGCTTGCTTCCCAGGTTCCCAAGGGTCACAGTGGGCTTTTCCCGCAGCCAAGCCATCCTAGTGCAAACTGTCTCACGGAACAAGGGTCACAGAGAGGAAGGGCTTGATACAGGACACAAGAACTATGTGAAATGAGCCCGGGGGGAGGCACACACTGGTGAGCCCAGCACTCGGGACGCTGAGACAGGAGGCTCTGCAGTTTGGGGCCTGCCTGGACTACATGGGAGATCCAGTCTCAAAAAGCCAAAACTAAGTAAAATTAAAACAAAGTAAATAAAATAAATACTGTATTGTCTCACTAGTGTAAGAACCTGAAAGAGTTAATAAAATATGAAAGGTATAATAGGTATTGTGAAAAGCAAAGAAACTACTCACAGAGAGAGAACAACTGGGATGAGGGAAAAGAGAAAAGAAAGGAAAAAATATATAGAAATATACACAGGATAGCTGAGAGAGTTGTACTCCTGACTTCTATTACTTTATTGAAAGGAACAGTTAATGTCTAATTGTTTGATCAATCTTGCATGCCTATATTTAACTGAGTAACCAATCTGAAGACAACAATATGTAATACAGCAACCACTGTTAAATTTCCTATCACCTTGTCTGAAATTCTGTATTGCTTCTATTATTTGGGTGTTTTTTTTTGGGGGGGTGTTATTTTGTTTATGTCTGTTTGTTTGTTAATGTATTTTCGTATTTCATCTTGAAAAACAAAACAAAATAAAATGAGAAAATGTCAGGCAGCGAGGGCTCAGCATCACTCTTAGTCGGAGGCAGCAAAACCATTTAGAAAGGACAGGGCCGGGGATGTAGCTCAGTGGCACAACCGCCTGCCCGGCAAGTGTAAGGCCCTCAGTTGCATGGATGGATGGATGAATAAATAAATAAGTAAATTTTTAAAAAGACAACAATGCCGAGCGTGGGGCGGTGTGGCTGTGCAGCGAGCGGTTCCTCCTCAGCCCCGGCCTCTGTGCAGTGCGTCTCGCTGCTCCGCGCTTACCCGCTGGAACTGGACAGACAGGGACGGGTTTGGCCTCCTGTCCTTCTGGGGACGAGCTCTCTCAACCCCAGACAGCAGGGTCTCCCCAGGGACATGCGGGCACACGGGAAGGCGCCTGTGGCAATCACAGTGACCACCTGCTAGAATCAGGCTGAGACAGGGAGGCTGATCCCTTGTATTTTACTTTAATTAATTTTTTTATTTAGATTTTTTTTTTGGAGACAGGGTGTTGCTGTGTGGCCCAGGCAGAGCCTGCGGCGATCCTCCTGCTTCAGCCTTCCTCTCTGAATGCTGAGGTCACAGGTGTGTGGCTAGCATAGTAGCAGTACAGGAAAACAGTGTCTCCCTTACGGAGATCCCAGCCACCTCTCAGAACTTCTGCATCCGGCTCTTCCATCTGTACTCTGGACACATTCACTGCTCTCCTGACCTTGGGATCCCCAGAGCAGTGGGGAGGAACCTTTGGGTTTAATGAGTGCATGAATTGTAACTCGCTGCTTGGCCACCTGACCTTCTCAAATTCTTATTTATTTTTGCAGTACTGGGGACTGAAGTACTGGGTGGGCTACTCCCACCACCAGCCCTTTTCTTTCTTATTAGTCTTCTTCTTATTATTTTTAAGAGACATGAGAAGGATTCATCAGTGGTAGATACAAAACACCTTCAAACACAGAGTGCAGGGACTCTGAGAAATGAAGCACCTGTATTTTATTATATTGAGACTGGGTCTTGCTAAGTTGCTAAACTCCCCAGACTGGGTTCAAATTTGGGATCCTCTTGCCTCAGCCTTCCCGAGTGCTGAGATTCCAGGTGTACATCACTGTGCCTGGCTCAGTCGTTGTTCTGAAAAGATGAAGAGCTGGCCCTCTACAGAACATGAATCCATCACAGCTGCGGAGTGACTGAGCACATGAAGGGGGAACTTCCAGACCAGGCCCCTGGGCCCCGCCTCACGGAGGCTGCCCAGACTGATCCTGTGACCTCATCGGCCTGCCAGCATTAAGTTACTACTTTACCAAATTCTCTCTTAATCTGCCTAAAAGAACTGTTTTTCAGACAGGGTCTTACTCTGTAGTTCAGACTGGTCTGGAACCTGCAGAAATCCTCGTGCTTCAGCCTCCCGAGTGCTGGGATTACAGGCGTGCGCCACCTTTTTTAAAGCTTCATGTCCTACACATGTGTAAATACTGCATTGTTTCTCTGGTGTGAGAAACCAAAAGTGTGAATAAGGACCAAAATGTGTAATGGGCAGTATGAAGTAGGAGGAAAATGTTCACGTGGGGAGGGGAATCAGGAGAGAGGAGGGGAAAAGGAAAGGGAAAGGTAAAAAAAATTAGAAAAGAAGGAAAACATGGAAACAAAGCCGTGTAAATGGGGAGGGGAGAGGTTGAAGGGAAGGAAGGGGGGGGAGTTGCACCATGTACAGGTACAAATTCTCTACAATAAATGTGATCATGTTTATCTAAAATATACCAATAAAAAAATAAAATAAAACATACCAATAAAATCTGATTTAAAAATGTAAACGTTTACCTACCAAAAAAGGCTTCATGTCTTTTATGAATAAAACAGAACAGTATATGTGTGTGGGGGGTGGGGGTGGGTGTGTGTGAGAGAGATTTTGTACTGTTTTTTTTTTTTTCTTCTGCAGAACTGAGGACAGATTCCAAGACCTTTATTTGCACCATGCTAAAACCCCAGCCCCTCCTGCCTCAGCCTCCCACAGCACTGGGATTATAAATCTGTGCTATCATGCCCAGCTGAAAACAGTTTTGTTTCTGGGTTTTGTGCCTGGTATAGTTCTCCTCTCCCGGCCTGAAAAAACATAAAGCAAACATTTCTGCGCCATCTGTGACTGCAAAGAGTGTTTACCTTGAGTGTCTCTGTAATCTGCAGAGTCTTCTAAGAGATTCTTCAAATAATCTAGAAAAGAAAGATGTTCCAGTATTTAGCACCACAAAGCCCCAAGCCTCCAACCCCTCTGCGTCCTCATTAGGTGGCTTTGCTGACTTGGGCAACTTTCTACAGATATGAAAGAGCAAAGCACTGAGCTCAAGGTGAGACCAGGATGGAGGTCTACGCACAGCCTCTGAGCTGAATGTGGGCCTTCTAAAGATCTGGGCAGTTCAGTGACACTGCGCCTGCCGGGCAAGCACAAGGTCATGAGTTGATTCCTGCTACTACCTGACCTCATGCCAACCCCACAAGCTCTTTGTGCCACAGCCAGTTCTCTGACCAGTCTAAGAGCTAGCACCAAACTCTACGGCACGAGGAGGCTGGACATCCATGAGCAAAACCGAAACTTCAGTGCTAGGAGGCTGCAGAGACTGCACACTTGCATCGAGCCAGTGCCTTGCTTTGCTTGTGCTCACAAGGGTTGAACCCAGGGCCTTTACACTGAGCTACACCCCCAGCCCCTTTTAAAATTTTAATTTGGAAGCAAGATCTCACTGCATTGCCCACACTGGGCTTGAACTTGCGATCCTCCTGCCTCAGCCTCCCAGAGCACTGGGATCACAGGTGTGTGTCATCATGCCTGGCTCAAACCAGTGGTTTTCAAATGAGGGAAATCCCCAGGGGGAACACATGGTGATGTCTGGAGACATTTTTATAGTCACAGGTAGTGGGTGTGGTTGGGCTATGAGAATCTGATGAGGCTGAGATGCTGGTCAATGTCTTACAGAACCCTCGACAGAGTATCTGAGCAAACGTCGCCATAGTTGGGCTTGAGAAATCCTGGAGTATAGAAGACGGGGCCACAGTGCAGTGGCATATCCCTACAATCCCAGCACTGGGAGAGGCTGAGGCAGGAGGATACAAATTTCAGTCCCACCTGGGCAATTTAGCAAAACCCTGTCTGTTATGGTTGATACACTGTGTCAACTTGGGGAGTCTAGAGGTTTGGCTAAGTGACTCAGCAGGAAGCCAGGGTGCTTACTTTGTATACATCCTGAGCCTGTGGAAGAGGAAAGCTGCATGGAGATTATGTGAGAGCTACCCACCCCTTAGGTGGGGGTAGCCTGTTTACAACATAAGGGAGGGAAAGAGGCTGCTTGCCACCATTCCTCCCTTTTGCTCTGGCTGCTTTGCTGTTCGGCTGCCATTCCCCCTTTGTTCTTGTTGCTTTTCTCTCTTCTGCCTAAAAGCCAGCCAAATATGGATTGAAACCTCCACAAACTGTAAGCTAAATAAACCTTTCCTTCCTTCATTTTGGGCAATGGGTACAGCAATGAGAGAAAAGTAACTAAGACAGAATTTGGTACCGGGAGTGCGACTGTTGCTGTGACTATACCTGACCATGTGGTTCAAGAGCCTTGGAAATGGCTTGTGGGAAGTGTTCGGAAAGGTTCAGAGATGTCGCCTGCAAGAGTAGAGCTGGAACGCCTTCGGCTGTTCTGTTTGGGAGATTCTGGTCAGAGCTCAGAAGATCAGAAAGCTGACAGAAATCCTGCCGGTAAAGACCAGGTTTGGGAGGTTTCTGCTGGGAAGGACTACATTGGCTGTTGGACTCCAGACGATGTGTGTTATGGCTTGGCAGAAAGTTTGTTCGCATTTCGTTCGTGTCCAGAGACTTTGCCTAAGACTGAGATTAAGGGCAGCAGTGGACTGACTAATCTGGCAAAAGAAATTTCAAGGCAGTCGAATGTTGGGGCAGTGGCATGGCTGTTGTTGGGGGCTTTTAGCCAGATTTATATTGAGAATCAAGAGCGAAGAGCCCAGCAGGATGATTTAAAAATGTTGTGAGTTTGGCCACAAAGGAAGCTCCAGTAAAGCTGGGGACTGCAAAGATAAGGCTGAGGAGATCTCTATTGCTGAGAAGGAACAAAAGAATGGAAAAGATGGCCTGAGGGCACCGCAAGCAGCAAGTCTCTGCCCTTTGCAGCCTCAAAACTGCAAAGGTGAAAGACCTTGCCTTGAGAAGGAAGCCGCAGAGGGCCATGCTCTAGAATGGCAGCGGCAGCCACACCAGGTTCCAGAATGGCGGCAGCAGAGAATCTGTTCCTCAGAATTGGATTCAGAGTGCCCAGCGATCCAGGCACTCGACCCCTGTGGCCAAGAGAGAGGAAAACTTGGCTACTGCTCCGGGTGGCAGCAGACCTTGGCATCCTCCACATGGCCCTGGCTTTAGATGCATGGAGAATGCAAGAGTTCTGAGGTTAAAGAGGCTTCCACCCAGATTTCAGAAGGCCTGGGAGGCCAGGCAGTGTGCCCCTGAGAGGGCAGTGTGTGAGGCTGTGAGTGTGAAGCAAAAGGTGCCCTGGAGACCTCAGAAGCTTAGAAAAGCCAGGACCATGGATCATTTGAGGAAAGCTGCAAGGAGGGAGCAGAACAGGCCTAAGAGAGAAGCTGTGAAAGCTGTAACCACCAGAAGTGCCGTAGGGGTGGACTCATGCAAGCCCTTTGGAGCTCACAATGTGCCACAGATTGCTTCAGATGCTGGTCATGGAACTACAGGGCATAATGTTAGCCCTGCTGGATTTTGGACTTGCTTTGGCCCCAGTGCTCTGTATCCCGCTGTGTGTACCTTTTGGAATGGTACTGCTTATTTTGTGCCATTGAATGTTGAAAGTGTTTAACTGTTCATTTGTACAGGAGCTCACAGCTAAGAGTTTGCCTTACATCTTGGAGGAGGGTTGGGACTTGGACTCTTAAGCAATGCTGCAACTGTTAGGACTTTGGCAACTCTTGCAGATGGACTAAATGCCTTTTGCATAAAAGGATGTGCATGAGTCTTTAGGGGGTGAAATGTTATGGTTCTAATGTAATATAATGTCTTTGTATCTGGAAACTGGTTTAAAGAAATGTGTCTGGTTGCCAAGTTGACAAGGGGAGGAGTGTTATGATTGATACATTGTGTCAACTTGGGGAGTCTAGAGGTTTGGCTAAGTGACTCAGCAGGAAGCCAGGGTGCTTACTTTGTATACATCCTGAGCCTGTGGAAGAGGAGGGCATGGAAATTATGTGAGAGCTACACGCCCCTCAGGTGGGGGTAGCCTGTTTACAATGTAAGGGAGGGAAAGAGGCTGCTTGCAGCCATTCCTCCCTTTTGCCCTGGCTGCTTTGCTGTTCTGTTCGGCTGCCATTCCCCCTTTGCTCTTGTTGCTTTGCTATCTTCTGCCTGGGAGCAAACCAAGTATGGACTGAAACCTCTACAAACTGTAAGCTAAATAAACCTTTCCTTCCTGCATTTTGGGTGTTGGGTACTTTGTCTCAGCAAGGAGAGAAAAGTAAGACACTGTCTCAAAACAAAGTGGTATACAGTGCTTCTTATAATGAGAAACACTGAGGCAAAAATTTATATTTAACAAATCTTTTGCTGGTAGTACACTTTTGTAAACCCAGCACTTGGAAGGCTGAGGCAGGAGGACTGCCTTGAGTTCGAGGCCAGCCTCGGCTCTATAGTGAGTTCAAGGCCAGCCTGAACTGTATCAAGAGACCCTAAAAAAAAAACTTTAACACCAAGGAATGTCACAGAGGTTCAAAGCAAACAATACTAACTCCTTCCTGTTCAGTTCCCAGCCCCTGCCACAGCCCCTACAACTTTCTGGAGTTGCCACTGCCTGACAGGTCCGCGCCCTTCCCTCCAGTCACTATGAGCTCCTGGCCCTGAGCTGGGTGTCCAGTGTTCCTTCTCTGTCCCTGTGTAGAAAAGTTTAACTTGTACTGCCTGTGCGTGCACGTGTACGTGAGCATGTGCGGATTCGAACCCAGGGCACCTGGCATGATAAGCACTTGGTGTACCACTAGGCCACACCCACAGCCCTCAACTCAAGGCTGAGAATTTCCCAAATTCCTCCTAACAAAACTTTCCATTTGAGAGAACTAGTTTTGTCCCTCCCCACCCATTTTTGGTTTTTGAGACAAGGGTCTCGCTATATAGTTCAGATTGGCCTCAAACTCGGAGCCATCCTCTGCCCCAGCCTCCCACATGCTGGGATTACAGGTGTGTACCACTACTGCCAGTTTGAAAGAGCTGTTTTCTCCCTTTGCATGACACTTGACATGGCAGTTGCTGTATGCTTCTATCATCTTCTTTATTAGACTCAAAGTTACTTATGGGCATGGTGGTACCTGCCAGTAATCCCAGCACTCTAGGAGGCTGAGGCAGGAAGATCTACAACTTTAAACCCAGCCTGGGCCAATCAGCAAGACCCTGTCTCAAAATCAAACCATTTAAAAAGGGCTGGGGATGTTGCTCAGAAAGAAGGTCCTAGATTCGATCCTCTGAACCTCCTGGCTTCACACATGCTAAGCATTCACTTTACCACTAAGCTAAAGCCCGCCCCCACCCCACCCCCATCTGTTTAAAGCCAGGATTCTGTCTTAGCTGAGGTAATAGGCAGTGAAGGCTGGAAGCAATTCTGCCAGCAGGAGTCAGAAAAAGGAAGGAAGCACCCATCCTGGGATGCACCTTTTGCACACTCAGCCTTGACAGTACTGGGAAGGAGCACAATTTCATCCTATAGATTTATGAAGCAGCGCTGACAGGCACAAAGAGAAGCTGGGTGCAGTGGTGCATGCCTGGGATGCGAGCACTCGGGAGGCTGAGGCAGGAGGATCACCAGCAGTTTGAGGCCAGCCGTGAGTTCGGTTCCCGGTACCGGAGAAAAACAAACAAACAAAAAAAAGATCTGCCTCAAAAGCACTACCAACAGCAAAGGGCACAAAGGGAAACCTGGGTGTCAGTGCCGGGGGACACACGTAATGAGCAGGGACACATGGCCAGCTGCTGGGACTTCCTGTTTCTGAGGCAGAAATCCCGAGGCCTCCAGTCTGGACAGTCAGGCTCCCAGCACCCTGAAGCCACGGCCACGCTCTGCTTCCGCCGCTGTGGCACAGGCTCCTCAGCAGCCACAGAGTGTTGCGTGACACACGCACGGGCAGAGCACACACCAGGTGGAGCAGGGGTGAAAACCACGGGA